TTGTGGGCAGCCTGTCCTGGCCATTCTCGGACACATTCCTTTGATTGAATCGTCTCATCCACAGGTCTGTACAGCATTCACAAAAAGCGAGTGTATGCTGCCCGGCTGCTCATGCGCCAGAATCTGCAGAGCCCAAAATCCAGGTAGGAGTGGTGGCAGCCATACATCTCGCCCTTATACGCATGACACTCATGCTCACTGCACTTGTGCATTCACGTGTCACACACACACACAGTCTGCACTTGTGCATTCACATGTCACACACACACACAGTCTGCACTTGTGCATTCACATGACATGCACACTCACAGTCTGCACTTGTACATTCACATGACATGCACTCACAATCTGCACTTGTGCATTCACATGGCACACACACACACAACACTTTAAATGTTTTAATTCCAACCAATGCTGATACCAATCAGCCAGCCTAGGCCTCAAGTGTGCCGTGTTATAAACAGTTGTTCTAACTTAGTGCTGAATGTTTCCTAGCTAGCATCTAATGCAGTGAATCCTCTACGGGTATCTCAGGCAGGCTCCTGTCTGTGAAGAACTCCCCACAGTATCCCCAGCAGTAAGGAGTCTGATTATGCTTCACCTTTGCTATGTTGCTTGGAGGAGTCCTCCCGCTGACAGAGTGCTATCTACACCAGCAGTTCGACCGGTACAACTGTGTGTGCCCCACCCCCAGAGCAATGTGGTTATACTGAAACGTGTAATGGAGACCTGGCCGCACTTACACACATGCTTTAAGACAGTAGGGCCAGGTGGAGTTTCAGTGGAGTTTCTCCTGATTTACACCTGTGACCCATTGTTCTGATGTGCTGGACCAAAACAGTACACAGGATTCTGCTGCTAGGGCTGCAGTAGCTCACGAACTAACTGGGTTCCGTGAGCTGTTCCTGATGACCTCAGCAATCATAGAATCCCAGGGCTGGAAGAGATCTCAGGAGTCATCGAGTCCAGCCCTCTGCCCAAGGCAGGACCAATCCCAACTAAATCAACCCAGCCAGGGCTTTGTCAAGCCGGGACTTAAAAACCTCTATGGATGGAGATTCCACCACCTCCCTAGGTAACCCATCCCAGTGCTTCACCACCCTCCTAGGGAAATAGTTTTTCCTAATATCCAACCTAGACCTGCCCCACTGCAACTTCAGACCATTACTCCTTGTTCTGCCATCTGTTACCACTGAGAACAGCCTCTCTCCATCCTCTTTGGAACCCCCCTTCAGGAAGTTAAAGGCTGCTATCAAATCCCCCCTCACTCTTCTCTTTTTTGCAGACTAAATAAGCAGAAATCCCTCAGCCTCTGCTCATAAGTCATGTGCTCCAGCTCCCTAATCATTTTGGTTGCCCTCCATTGGACTTTTTCCTATGCGACCACATCCTTTCTGAAATGGGGGGCACAGAATTGGACGCAATACTCCAGATGTGACCTCACCAAAGCCGAATAAAGGGGAATAATCCCTTCTCTAGATCTGCTGGCAATGCTCCTCCTAATGCACCCCAATATGCCATTAGCCTTCTTGGCTACAAGGGCACACTGTAGACTCATATCCAGCTTCTCATCCACTGTAACCCCCAGGTCTTTTTCTGCCAAACTGCTGTTTACCCAGTCAGTCCCTAGCCTGTAGTAGTGCTTGAGGGTCTTTTATTAAGGTCCTGGCTGCAACATAACTCTCTGGTAACTGTGGTGGACCAAATACTCTGTAACCACACCACAGATGAAATGGGGGCTTTTGAGAACAATGCAGGGACATGGCTTTCCTGGAAACCCACCAGGGTGGGCAGGCTCTGCCTCGCCCAAAGGGATGCAAAGAGCTACCTCTCCTCCCACCTCTTTGCAAACTCAACCTCTGTCAAGGGAGAATGTGGCTCCACATCTGAGAAGGGCCTGGAGAGAAGAACTGGAGGCCTTGGTGCTTGTGGGGATGACTTGGTGAAACTATGAGGAAGCAGAACTACAAGCACCATATCTAATGTTGAATGCTAGTGCAGAGAAAGGGACAGTGTCTGTGCTGCATTCATGGCAGGGCAGTGATATGATAGTTCCATGTAGGCAACACTGGGCCAGCGAGTTTGGCTTTCCAAGCTGTATGCAGAAGGATGGCTAGCGATGAAGAACACCACCATGTCAGAGTGGGGCGGGTGACTAGGTGTGAACAGAGGACAGCTTCTTCCCTAAGCTCTCGTTCTTGTTTCCCTTTTGTTGGTTCAAACATGAGATCATCTGGGCAGACACACTGGGCTGCTCCTGCGCCTTAGAAAAACCCACTCAAAGAGACAACTACCGGAACTGGGACCCACTAGCTGGGGGCTTACAGGTGTCCAGTGGGCTCCTCATGGGGTCAGGATTGTTTTGTTTTTCACCCTCCTCCCTGCAGTCGGTCAACGATTTTCCTGCGACTTCACACCAATGGGCAACAGGAGCTGCGCTACCTGCCTGGAGACCACCTGGGAGTGTTCCCAGGCAACCACGAGGACTTGGTCAATGCTCTGATCGAAAGACTCGAGGATGCACCTCCAACCAACCAGCTGGTGAAGGTGGAGCTCTTGGAGGAAAGGAGCACAGCTTTAGGTAAGGAGGGCCAGCGCAGACACCCTCACTGGGGCCAGCTGGACCCCGTTACCCCCACCCCTCCCCACAGAGTCTCTGGGTGCTCCATGGATCCTGGTGGGGAGAGGTTTGGACCCATTCCCTGGTGCGTTCCCATAAGGACTGTAGGGTTTGGAGCTCTGGTTTTAGCTTCCCTGTCATGAGAGAGGGTACCCAGCTGCGCAGCATTTTGGGACTGTGGAGTGCTCAAAGCAATGTGTCACAGAACAACAGGGCTGTAGGGGAGCGTTTTCTGCTCCTTCTGGCAAGCTGAAACCTCTTCAGGTCCATGGAAAGTCGAGTTAAATGGTGTTTGATGCAGAGCGTTGAGCTCTTGAGTACTGGACAGTCTATGGGCCTGACACTGCATTGTCCAACACTAAACGGGTGGCAAATGCTCTTCTCACTCCACCCCCCCGGAGCGATACAAGAGTGGAAGAACCAGCCGTGGTATCATGAATGTGGCTGATCGTACAACATAAGGTCATTGGGAGCACCAGATTGTGCCAGATTCTTCTTTCTAGCCCTTCCTCGTTCATTGTCTCACGCTGGAGTCCAAGCCTCCATTGTCCAAAGTGCGCTGGCAAACTCAGCCAGCAATGGATTCTCTCCCATCAGGTGTCATCAGTAACTGGACGGATGAGAACCGCATACCACCCTGCACCATCTTCCAGGCATTTAAGTGCTACCTGGACATCACCACGCCTCCCACCCCTCTGCTGCTACAGCAGTTTGCCTTACTGGCCACCAGTGACAAGGAGAAGAAACGTCTGCAGGTCCTCAGCAAGGTAAATCTGTAGGTCCAGTTGGCAGCCTCTTTCTAGTGTAGGAGGCTTGCATGCCCCACACTCCTGCTTAACCTTAGTGGTTGGTAAGTTTCCCTCTTGATGAACTCTCCACCTCTGTATCTACCTCCTGGATGTCTTAGGATGAATCTGGCTGAGGAAAGCAGCTTGTCTATGTAAACAGCTGTCAGTGACTTGCCTTCTCAAATCCTGGAACCGGATTCCAATAGAAATGCGGCCTGTGGAAATTACATGTCACCAAGACACATTATTCCATCCTGACCAGAGAGGTCTCCCCCGGTGGCTCCTTACCGAGGGCTACTGACACACTTAAATGGGCCAGTGTCTTTCCACTGATGTAGCTCACCTTAGCATGCTTTATGTTCAGTGAATTTAACCGGATGGCTCCACAAAGGAGGGCTCTGGAGTAAAGTGACTTGCCCAGGATCATGCAGGGAGTCTGTGGCGGAGCTGGAGACTGAATGTACGGCTCTTGATTTCCTGTCCCCTGATCTCTCAACCCTGCAATCAATGTAGGGTGTCTTGCACCTCTCCTGCTGTGTCTGTGTAGGAGAATCTCTCAGCCTGGGGCTCCCTTGTGATTGTGTCTAATAATGGGAGAAGTTCGGAATCCACTGGAGGCTTTGTCAGGAAGGTTTGAGGCCTGAGGAGCAGTCTCTAGAATGAGTGGCAATCAGGACCAGAGCAGACCTGGGTGCCCTTAAGCCCTGGGATCTCCTGCTAGAGCTCTCCTTTGTCTGCTGCATCCTGCCATGGGACTCTCGTGGTGCAGTGCTTCTGGCCTAGAACAAGAGCTCACTCGTCCTTTCCCTCCCTCGCTTCAGGGCTTGCAGGAGTATGAGGAATGGAAATGGTCCAAAAACCCCACCATAGTGGAGGTGCTGGAGGAGTTCCCATCCGTGCAGATGCCTTCCACCCTGCTGCTCACCCAGCTGCCTCTGCTGCAGCCTCGCTATTACTCCATCAGCTCCTCTCCCGACATGTCCCTGGACGAGGTGCACCTCACCGTGGCTGTGCTCTCCTACCGCACTCGAGGTACCGTGCTAGCTCCTGGTTTGCGCTTCAGCAACTGGCCCTGGGCAGTACTGAGATGGGGCCCTTGCCTCCACATGCATTGTGGGTAGTGGCCATGAACCTATGGGGCTGTGTGTCTGTTTGGGGATGGGGACTCACCTATTCATGTGGGATCTCCTCCAGGGTGGGATGGAGGGAGCAGCATCCAGATTCAGCAGCTGAAGCTGGGGGCTCTCACGCTTTTCCAGGACACTCTGCACTATTAGAGTTGCCACTACTGACAGAAGCTGTTCTGGGAGATTTTTCCCTCTCTCCCCAATATGACGTAACGTCATTTTCTTCAGAGTTCCATTTCAAATCTCCAGGATTGCGCTCAATAGTCCCTGGGAGATTGACGCCAGTTCTGGGAAACTCCAGGCCCGTCCTGGAGGCTTGACAACCCTGTGCATGATGCAGCACAAAGGCAGAACGTGCTTGTTTCAGCTGCCTCACACCAGTGGGTGTTGGGGAGATGAGATTCCAGCTCTGCCTCCCCCGAAGATGGCAGCCATGTGTCTCTCCTGCCTCCCACTCCTGGGAAACGCAAAGAAATGCTGAATATTCTTCTTCCACGTGGCACTGCCTAGCACTGGTCTGGCCTGTGCGGTCATCTTCTCAAGGCACATGGGAGGAGGGAGGGGGAGAAGGTGCCTAATTTATAACTCCCCCCCACCCCCAAAGGAGCCCATGGCCAAGGTTTCTTGGAAAACTCTCCCCCAGCTGGAGACAGTTCTGGACAGTCCCATTCAGCACTGGGCAAGGGGAGTGTCTAGGGCCACAACATAATCACAAACTCCCCTTCTGCAGCCAATGGCATCTCCCTGATGTTAGCCTGGGAGAAGCCAGCCCTCTGTGAGTGCTGCAGTGACCCAGCCTGCCCAGAATGAGAGCATCCTGCTGAGCAGAATTGGCCCCAGGGACCACTCTGTGCTGGCTGTTCTGACTCTGAATCCCAAGTTGGCTGCTGCTGATGACGATGTCGCGGCAAGGATGGGGGGAGGTTTGGCAGAGTGATCCGTTGGGCACAGAGAGATAAACAGGGTGTTCTGCACTGATCCATTCAGCAGAGCTGGGGCAGGGTACAAACCCCCTCTTCCTTTCCTCTCCTAGATGGGGAAGGACCGATACACCACGGGGTCTGTTCCTCTTGGTTTAACCGGATACAGACAGATGAAATTGTGCCCTGTTTTGTAAGAGGGTGAGTGTCATGTTCACTGCATGTGGAGTCCTGGAGAGCCAGGAAGAGTTTGGAAGGGAGGGGACACACTTTGACCCCAAAAGCCCACTCCAAGACTGATCAACAGCAGAGAGCACCCAAATCTCTGTCTCTAGCCCATCATGTGCACCCACTGCACAAGTGGGATGTTTATGAATGAGCTGCCTCATCACCCTGACCAGGGGGAGAACTAATGACCTGCAGAGCAGTCTGCAAGAGCAGGGTGTGGTGCCCAATGCCCCTGTACAGCCAGGAGCACAGAAGAGAGTGGAGTGTGGGCTGCAGATGGGACCATTACAATGTGCTCTGCTTAGAAGTTCTGTGCAAAAGTGCCACTTTTCCCCACTGCCTTCTGCACTCAAACTTCTGCTCCTGCATGTCTGAGCTACATTTCTACTCCCACGAGGATTGCATTGACCCAGCTTTAGCCTTGTCCCATTACAGTCGTGTCGAGGGGCGACCTATTCTTGGAGGATCCTTGAGTCAAATCCCCTTCACTAGGGGTATCATGGCCTAATGGCTGGAGTCTACCCACAAGTCCTGTTACTAGGGGTAATACAGCCCAACAGTCAAGTTCGTATGCAAGTTCCCTTTCTTAGGGGTAATAGGGCCTAGGGGCCACAGTCCATACATGAATCCCCTTTACTAGGGGTAATATGGCCTAGCAGCCAGAGTCCATACACGAGTCCCCTTTACTAGGGGTAATACTACCTAGCAGCTAGAGTCCAACCACAAGACTCCTCTAATAGGAGTAATGCTGCCCAGAGGCCTGTAGAAAAACTTCACCCACATGGGCTAGCTAAGGAGGAAGTAGGGGGACCCAGGCCCTCCGTCTCCACTAGGTTCCGGCTCTATTGACAGTGGCACAGGCCATTTCCCGCTCTGCAGGGAATCTGGCACCCTGAGCACCCGGAGAACAATTCCCCACCCTGGGCTACTTCCTACTGTTCCCTGGCAACTGCTGTCTCCGTAGTCTTTCTGGTTCTGGGGCTCCTCTGGTAGTTCCTCTTGGTCTGGCTGCTGCTGTGTGGCCCAGCTTCGCTGCTGCTTCTTCCATCACTGGAGCTCTTGCAGCACCTCCTTCCCCTTCAGCGGTCCGCCCTGACTAAGCTTCTCCAGAGGCTTTTGTAGTCTGTCTCCAGTGGGAGCATTCCCAGCAGGGCTGTGGGGGTGGGGCCTTCTCAGCCAGCTGGGCCAAGGCCATTCCCTTGGTTTCAAGTGTGGGGAGGGTACGGCATCACTAACTTTGTAACTTGTTTACCCAGAGCACCTGGGTTCCACATGCCACAAGATCCCCAGGTTCCCTGCATCCTGATTGGCCCAGGTACAGGAATCGCCCCCTTCCGGAGCTTCTGGCAGCAACGGTTCTTTGAAATAGAGCACAAAGGTGGGTCTGAGGTCTTGAGCCTTGGGTAAGTAACAGGGCGAGTGAGTGACACCTCAGCGAACTCAAGTGTAATGCACTGACTGAGTACATGTGATCACATTGCTCTCTGGTGGCTGGAGCTGGTGAGGGCTGGAGCCTAAAACTTGCCATTAATCAACTTAGCTCCAAAGATTGGCACTTGTATGTTCGGTGCTAGAGGGGTCAGGCTGAGTCACAAGATGACTGCTGAAGTGCGTGCATATGTGTAGCCATGGCTGTGTTTTGCTGACTATGAGGTGAACTCACAGAGAGCAGGTTCAATGTTTTTTTCCACTGGCCTTTTTCCGAGATGTATTTCATGATTTTTTTCCTTTAGATAATACTTCATGCCTTTTTGTCCTACGTTTTTCAATGGAGAATCAAAACATTTTGGTTTAAAGATGATTTTTATTGCAAAAACAAACAAATGATTTAAAAAAAATCTCCCACAAAAATAACTACCTTGTTTTATACCGCACTATTATTTGGGACCCTGGATCTCTGTGTACAACTCTGAGTGGTTACACAATCTCCCCAAGTATCTCCTCTCTCACTCTCTATCTTTCCTCCTCTGCCATCTGCTGTCCCAAGGAACAGAACGATGTAGCTAAAATAGCCTCCCTCAGAGTGCATAGAATGGCTGCTAGCAGGCAAAGAGGAAATCTAAGCACAGCATGTGTCCATTCTGTGCAGGAGGGCGTGTGTGAAATTGGGCTTGGGAAACGGGGTGCAGATGATGACTATGACTCACTGCTCTCCCATCTGTGTCTGCTGCAGCACTCAAGCCCTGCCCGATGATACTGGTCTTTGGGTGCCGACAGTCCAAGATTGACCACATTTACAAAGAGGAGACCCTCCTAGCCAAAAACAAAGGCATCTTCAAAGAGCTGTACACAGCCTATTCCCGGGAACCAGACAAACCAAAGGTAACTCGAGGCCAGCGCCCTGCTCTGTCACCTGTGGGCAGCTCAGAGACGCCGTGACCAATCTAAAGCAGATGGCGAGCAGAGCTCCAGCACCCCTATGAGGTGTGGATTCCCCCAGCAGCCCCATAGGGAAAGTGTCAGGCCTCTGATGTGGTCACCTGGGGGGATTTGCCAGCACTCATTTGAGAATGTGTTCTTGGCTCAAATTTTTAACAGCTACACGGGCCAACGAATCCTCCATTGAAGGATCCACAAGTCACTTCTGGCTGTGAAAAAAAATACGCTGGTGCTAGCCAAGTATTGACCCCAGGGCCTTGGAGGCGTCCCATTGGGTCTTTGACTTCCCCCCGCAGGTTCTGTCATGCTACCAGCCTGATTTCCAGCTGTGGAATTCCACTGACTTCACTTAGAATGTCTGGAGCGTAGCTCCTGCAAACATGCATGCTCTGGCTGTCCTCAGTCCCCATCCAAAACCGTCGTTCAGCATTGCTGCGTGGGGTTAAATGGCTGCCGTGTCCCACCCCACTGGATGACTGGGTGAAGTGACTCCTGTGTACACAGCTGGGCTGTGCCTTGCGGGAGCTGTGGGTGACAGGCACTGTGCAATGTCCGTTCTTTTCCCCTCCCACCCAGAAATATGTGCAGGACGTGCTGCAGGAGCAGCTGGCGCAGTCGGTGTACAAGGCGCTGAAGGAGCAGGGAGGCCACATCTATGTTTGTGGCGACGTCACCATGGCAGGAGATGTCTTCAAAGCCATTCAGCGCATCGTCAAGCAACAGGGGCAGCTGTCTGTGGAGCAGGCTGGTGCTTTCATCAGCAAGCTGAGGGTGAGTAGCAGCTCCCCAGCATGCTGCAGGGATCAGTGAAAGCTTGTGCCAAGGCAAGGGCTTTGGGCTCTCCTACACAATCGCTGCAGATTGGAGCATTGTGTCCATGACCTCTGGGAGTGTCACAGGCACCATCCCCGCTGGCCTCCTGACCTGACTTCTGGTCTTCCCTCCCAGGCTCCTCACTTGCCAAAGGAGCTGGGTGGTGGGTGAGCTAGTAGAGAACTAGGCTGAGGCTGCCAAATTCCCTTTCTCATGTGACCTCAGGCTCAGGGCCGGATTAAGGGGAGGGATAGCCAGGCAGCTGCCTGGGGTGCCAACCTATGGGGGGGGCGCCTGATTGAAGTGGTAATGGGTGCTGGATCAGGCACCCCCCCATAGGTTGCTGTCTGGGCGCGGGCCACATGTGCTGTGTGCCTGGGGGCGGGGCCGCACTTGCGCCACGTGCCTGGGGGTGCGGCACCCCATACACATCAATCAGGTGCTGTGCACCTGGGGCAGGCCGCTGCCCAGGGTGCAAGAATGGCTCAAGCCGGCCCTGCTCAGGCTGTGCCATCTAGCTCCCTGTCTTCAATTTTGTAAGTCGGCAGAACGGTTCTTGCTGAAGCCAGCCGGCAGTGTATCTGGGGGAGCAAGTCTGTGTGAAGGACGAGTTCCTGGAGGAATTCTTGAGGGCAGCTTCTCAGGGAGCGCCATTTCAGCAGCTTAACCTGTTAGCCTTGTCCACATTTGCACATCATACATTGCTGGCCTACTACTGGTGCAGCTCCAATGCCAGTGACATGCCATCCCAAGCTCCTATTCCAGGTCTTTTTGCAATGCTGACTTTATCCAGGATATGCCTCTGGGACATTAGCAATGCCCAGCCAGCTACTAGCCTGCCCCCACCATGCACATTGCTTAACTATCCAAAAACTGGCTATTGCATCCTCACTGTAATAAACAAATATGACAAATCTATGTCCACCTGGCACCTTCATGGATGTCACTTCCTCATGCAATGGCCATGCAGATCCTACTGCTGCACAGACACAGACCTTTAGCATTTGAGCTACCAAGGAAGTTATTAGCAATATAAGCCTATGACATACAGATAGGCAGTTTCAATTCCATTCAGTGAAGGGCACTGGTTGACTTGCAGTCTAGTCTGTTCACGATGGCAGTGTTCCTTCCAGGCTGCAGTACAACCCCCAGTTCCCCTGGACTTCCTTTCTCTATTTTTTTGAACCTTAAGGTATGAACTATGTAGCTGAAGAAGCTATGCAGTGAACACTGGACAGAGTGTCAAGAGACCCAGACTCTGTTCATGGCTCTGCCCCCTGACTTACTGGATGATCTTGGGGAAGTCACTTCCCAGCTCTGTGCCTCAGTTTCCCCATGTAGGCTTTTTCTTTCTTGCTGATTTGGTATAGGGTAGGTACTGTCTTACACTATGTTTGCATAGTACCCAGCAAAATAGGATCCCATCTCAGCTACCTGGGACATCCCTACCGATAGGCAAAACATGCAGCCATGTAGGGCAGCACAAAATTTGGGGCACCAAATTGCCCCACATTTCATAGTGCCCTATGCAGCTATGTGTTCCAGTCATCAAGCAGCCCCTTTCCCTGCCTCAGTGCCAGTCCAGCTGCCCCCCAACCACATACCTCAGTCACCCACCCCCAACTCAGCATTCAGCCTTTGTTCACCAAGCAGAGGCAAGTGGCCCTCACAGGCTGGAGGACCAAGCAGGGGTAGCTGCACAGCGAGCAGTTAGAGAGAAGCGACACTTTCCCCTTAAAAGTGCTCTTCTCTTCTGCTGACTTTGTGGCTGCCTGTTGTTCCTCTTGCTGTGCTCCCTCCTGGCCCTTCGCCAGGTTGCCAATTCTCCCCTACAGGATGGGCCAGACCAATTTGACTGGTCCAGGAGAGTTGGTAACCCTTTTTCCCCACATCTTCAGCACCCCCGGGGGGGACTAGTGCTTAGTTGCCTAGAGCACCAGCATCTATAGGTGCTACAACATGGAAGGGCAATAATCTTTTATGAGGGCCACTCCAAGATTTTGGAGTGGTTGAGGGCTGCACTCTTTCATGATATTAATGGAAGAGGTATGGAGGTTGGGTGCAGCAGGGATCTTGGGGGGGGGGAAGGGATTTGGAGTGTAGGAGGAAGAACGGGGTCTAGGAGGGAGTTTTGGGTGAAGGAGGCAGTTTTGACCTAGGGTAGGGATCTGGGGTGCAGGATTTTGGAATGTTACCTAGGGCAGGAAGGGGTTATGACCAAGGGCAGGGGATGGGTTTAGGGGTTCGGTTTGTGACCTAGGGGAGGAGACTGGGTGCAGGAGATTGGAGTGCTAGATCTGGGAGGGGGTATGGGTGCGTGTGGAGTAGCAGGGCAGGAGTTGGGGGCAAAGGGTTGGGGACGGGAGGGACTGGGGTGCTAGAGGCAGGCTCTGGCCAGGAGTCTTACCAGCCAGCAGCCCAACCAGCCTGCCTGCCTGCAGAGCTTAAAATGTTTCTCAGCCATCCAGCCTGGCTGCCTCCCACACACACACAGGCTGCACGGCCATGTGCTTGTGTGAATAACTGAGCTGGAGGGACGGGGGCGGGGAGCGTGGTGCTCCATGTGCTGCTTGTTATTCAAACAGGCAGCTCTCATTGGCCAGTTTCTGGCCAGAAGCCGGCCAATGGGATTGTACTGGGGGCAGGAGTTACGCCTGAAGCCTTCCCCCCACCCCTCTTGGCTCACAGTTTTTAAAGAGAAATGGCCTTGCAGTCACTTTTATGAGTGGTCTGCAGGGCAAGTTGGGAAGTCTGCCTGGAGCTCCCCATGGTGCCCGTGGGATGGATCCAATAGTTTGACAGGCCAGATCCAGCCCTCGGGCCATATTTTGCCTAGGCCTATGCTACAGAATTGTGACTATGCCTTTCTCCTGGTGCCATGCCTCTTCTGTCATTGGTTTCAGGATGACAACCGCTACCATGAGGATATTTTTGGCGTCACCTTGCGTACATATGAAGTGACTAACCGCCTTAGATCTGAGTCAATTGCATTCATTGAGGAAAGCAAAAAAGACGCGGATGAGTGAGTTGATGTGCTTATTTTAACCTGAACAATTGTTTCTTAAATGCAGGTGGGTTGTGGAATAAAACTCAGAAGGATCCTTTTATTTATTTGCATGGATGGAGCTTGTAATAACAGTGACAGGAACGTGTGTCTGATTGGAAAGGCAGAAACGTATAAAGCTGCACTCTGGTTTCTTTGAGAGAATGATCATCTTAATGGGTCAAATCCCTTCCTGGCATAACTATTGCTTCCCAAAGGAATTGCGCCAAGATGGAGCTGACCCATTTCATCCACTACCCCAGCCTTTTCCATACCACAAGCCCCTGGGACAACAGGCGCAATGAAGCATGAGTGGGCAGTCATAACTTGGAGCTGGCTGAAAGTTTCCCAGTGGAGTGAAATTCAGTGGGAACATGCCAATTTGATAGAATTGACTCGTTCTGTCACAGTGTGTCAATGTTGTCAGTGGAAACCAAGCTGGCCACTTGTCAGACTCCCTGAGACCTATGGCTCTGCAGAGCACACCTGGTCGTGGTAGGGGCAAACTTGCTGGCTACCCAGGGAGCTAGGCAGCCAGAGGAGCTAACTGAAGACCTGACCCTGCTCACACTAAAATCAAATGGCAGAATACACATTAGAATCCAAGGTGTCTTTCCTGGCCTCATGTTGACTCCCAGCTAACTGTACTGGTTGAATGACTCAGAGTCAGCACTTGGCAGCAGCCCATGCCCCAGGCAGGCTAATGGCCAGATCTGCTCATTGCATTTAAACCAGGCGATGGGCAACTTAAGGCTCAGGTGCCAGATGTGGCCCCCGGCTTCCCTAGATCTGGCCCCTGAGGCTCGCCCCCAGCATCAGAGATCCTGTGCTGATGCTCCAGCCCCCTCCCACTGTCTCCCTGTGGGGCTGGAATTGGCAGCAGCCCATGCCCCAGGCAGGCTAATGGCCAGATCTGCTCATTGCATTTAAACCAGGCGATGGGCAACTTAAGGCTCAGGTGCCAGATGTGGCCCCCGGCTTCCCTAGATCTGGCCCCTGAGGCTCGCCCCCAGCATCAGAGATCCTGTGCTGATGCTCCAGCCCCCTCCCACTGTCTCCCTGTGGGGCTGGAACACACAAAATCTACTAGGCTGAGCCCCCCTGTAGGCTCTGGTGTGTGAGGAGATTGGGGGGAGTGTCTCTTCCTCAGTCGGGGACCCCCTCTCTGAGGGTGTGTTGGGGTTTTTTGTTTTTTTGTTTGTTTTGTTTTTTGCTTCTCACTTGTGTGTGGCCTCCAACTGATTTTTCTGTGGGTCAGTGGCCCCACCCCTAGTTTAAACACTAGGGGTGCATCTACACAGCAGGGCTTAACTTGAAATAAGCTACGCAAATTGAGCTACATCAAACTGGGGGTCGCGACCCTCAGGGGGGTCACAAACAACTTACAAGGGGGTCGCAGCTGGATTTGGTTTTTCACTTACGACCCCTTGAAATAAGCTACGCAAATTGAGCTACATCAAACTGGGGGTCGCGACCCTCAGGGGGGTCACAAACAACTTACAAGGGGGTCGCAGCTGGATTTGGTTTTTCACTTACGACCCCTCTCACTTGGGCCGCAAAGAGTGGCAGGGCGGCGGAAGCTAAATAAGGGTATGTGGGGTCAGAAGAGGAGGCAGAGGAGAGGAAACAAACAAACAAACAAACAAAAAACCTAACGGTCGTGGAGCAGAAAAGAGACACAGAGGAGAAAGAGATGGGGGGGAAGGATCCTGCAGGGAAGAAGGGCGTTGAGGACGGCAAACACCTTGAAGCAGTGGTCCCCAACCACTGGAGGTTGCCGGGCGCCAGGGGGGATGGCCACTCGTCCACCGG